CGCAAGCCAAAGCTCCCCCAGCCCTGCCCCGGGTGCAGCTGGGCTACAAGGGACCGGAGCGCTGCTGCATTAATCGCGCTTTCCAGCCTCGCCGTGCAGATGAATGGGTTGCTTAAAATAAAAGTCCCCTCTGCTCCTAAATAATGTTCCAAGCAATGCAGCCACCTACGAGATGGGATGCGGGTTCCTTGCAGCTCCCAGCACCACGTCCATCCCAGGACCCCCAGGTACCCCCCCCCTCCCCAGTGCAAAGCTTGGCTTTGCGGTTCTCTGCAAGGCAGCGGGTGGCCGTGCTTTGTGGGGACCACGTTTTGCATCTGGCACCTCCCGGGTTTCTAACTGCAGCCCCATGCACGGTCCCGGCAGCGTGCGTGTCCAGGCAAGCCAGGGCAAAGCAGAGGCAATGCCAATTCTTTGGCATCTGGACCCAAATCACGCAGCCCAGACCTCCTGCAGTCACCTTTCCCAGGATGTTTGCCCCGAAGGACCAAAGGATCCTTGAAATGAAAGAGCTCATGTGTGGGGAAGGAAGGGTTAAACCAGAGTTGCACGTTTTCCCGATGTTTCTGGGCTTGCAGATTACCTTCAGTCCGCAGGTTGGCCGGCCGGGTTGATGGATGTGTCTCGGGGCTTTCCCTCCCTCGGCCGAAGGCGGGATGCTGGCCCAGTCAGCTGGCTTGGCTGGAGAAATCCCCGCTCGGGTGGAAAAGCTGACCCTTGTCTGGTTTTCCCAGCACAGGCTGTGGAGAGCATCCCGCTGGGGAGCTCACCGCGGTCCATGCACCTCCACAACCCACAGGCGTGTATCCTCCACAAGCTGTGTTTTCCCTAGGAGTACGAGCGTGAAGGTCCAGCCCCACCAGCAAGCCCCATGGAGCTGCAGAAGCCCCATGATGTCCCAAGGGTGAGGGAAAACCTGGAGGAAGATTCTGGAAAAGGCTCACTGAGCCCAGGGGGATGCAGAGGGGAGGATGGCAGGAGGGGACGGGGATGAAGCTCGGTGTCGGGCAGCCCTGCTCGTAAAAAAAACCACCGGACCGTGCAAAAAGAAGAGGCTGGATGCCTGCCTCTAGCGAGATCGTGGGTAATCCAAGGCCTGGATGAGGGTGTGACGGAAGGGGCGAGAGCTTACGGCGTTGTTGGGCGCGGGAGCAAGCGCGGCTGCCCGGGCTCCCGGCTTCCCCTCCTGCGTCGCGGGCTCCGCGCGTCGGCAATTCCCGTCTCCTCGGCTCTAACGCGAGAGCGACACGGAGCCAACCCCGGGGCGCTTGACTCACCGCCCTCCTGCAACGCTCCTCGCGGGCGAGCCCCCTGGACCGGGTCCCAGGGCCTTGGTGACAGCCGGCGACGCTGTCCTTCTGTCACCGGTGCCCGGCTCCGGACCGTGGCCCGGCACACTGCCCCGGCGAACCGTGAGGCTGGGCGAGGAGAGGCAGGTTGTCCCCAGGAGCTCGGAGGGCTTTGGTGCGCTGATGGAAGGGAGAGGTGGGAGCAAGCTGTGCCGGACCACGGGGGTGTGCGAGGATGGTGGGTGGGGAGCGCTCACAGCCGGCCAACAGCTTCTGGAAGGTTCGGCTGAGAAATGGGGACCGACGAGCTGTTCCCACGTCTTTGCTGGTGGAGCTGACACTCCCAGTTTTAAGCCCAAGGCAAAAGGCACCCTCCTCCACAGCGAGGCTGGGAAAGCAACCTTCTGCGAGACAAGATGGGCTCCACCTCCAGCCTCCTCCGTGGTGGGCACCCAGCTCCCACATCGAGCGCTGGAGGACTTGTTCCATCTCTAGGTGCCGTGGATCCTGCTCTTCCTGGGCGTCTCAGGGGAACAAGATGGATGCATGATGGCCACAGCCATCCATCCGATGTCCAGCCCCGCTGGTGTGAGCTCCTCACCCCCCAGGAGGGCTTGAGGCACAGCCTGGAGTTGGGGAAAGGTTGGCTTGTGCCTGAGCCAGCTGATGG